TCCTGCCTCTGGGGGAGGCAGCGCCTCGGGCTGCTCTGGAGGGGAAGGCGGCCCCAGAGGGTCTGGGACTCCCTCCCTCCCTCACAACCGCCGTCAGCAACCGCAGGCCCAGCCAGCCTTCCGGTGACAAACCCCGGGACTTCGTCAACGGCATGAGCTCCAGTTAACTCTCTTATCTTTTTATTTGGAAAATAATAAAGTGCTGGACCAAAGAAAGAATTTTGTCAGAAATAGCACCTACTGCGAGCCGCGCGCTGGGACCCGGGGTCAGCCCATGCTGGCGGAGCTGAGCAGTGAAGCGGGCAGACAGGGGACCAAGCAGTGCCATGCGGTGCCCTGGGGTCTGTGGTGAGGAGGGAGGAGGGAGGTGGGCAGGGAGGACAGAGCATCTTCAGAAGGCAGAGCCTCTGGGCGGCACTGAACAAGCCGGCAAGAGCGGTGCACCCAGGCCCAGGGGCCGGGCGGGGCCAGGGGGGTGAGGCTGTCAGCAGGAAGGGCCCCAGCTCCACTCTGAGGTGTGAGTCTGAAAGACAGCATGTGAGGGGACTGGCATGTGAGGGGGACTGCTCTGGTGGGGGGCCTGGCATGTGAGGGGGACTGGAAGGTGAGGGGGACTGGCATGTGAGGGGGACTGGCATGTGAGGGGGACTGGCCCGGTGAGGGGGACTGGCCCGGTGAGGGGGACTGGCCCGGTGAGGGGGACTGGCATGTGAGGGGGACTGGCATGTGAGGGGGACTGGCATGTGAGGGGGACTGGCCTGGTGAGGGGACTGGCATGTGAGGGGGACTGGCATGTGAGGGGGACTGGCATGTGAGGGGGACTGGCCCGGTGAGGGGGACTGGCATGTGAGGGGGACTGGCCCGGTGAGGGGGACTGGCATGTGAGGGGGACTGGCATGTGAGGGGGACTGGCCTGGTGAGGGGACTGGCATGTGAGGGGGACTGGCATGTGAGGGGGACTGGCATGTGAGGGGGGCTGGCATGTGAGGGGACTGGCATGTGAGGGGGACTGGCATGTGAGGGGGACTGGCCCGGTGAGGGGGACTGGCATGTGAGGGGGACTGGCCCGGTGAGGGGGACTGGCATGTGAGGGGACTGGCATGTGAGGGGGACTGGCTCTGTGAGGGGGGCTGGCATGTGAGGGGGACTGGCATGTGAGGGGGACTGGCAAATGTGAGGGGGGACTCGGCTCTGTGAGGGGGACGGCCTGGTGAGGGGACTGGCATGGTGAGGGGGACTGGCCAGTGAGGGGGACTGGCCTGGTTGGGGGGACTGGCATGTGAGGGGGACTGGCCTGGTGTGGGGGACTGGCATGTGAGGGGGACTGGCCCGTGAGAGGGGACTTGGGCATGTGGAAGGGGACTTGCCTGTGAGGGGGACATGGCATGTGAGGGGTACTGGCATGTGAGGGGGACTGGCATGTGAGGGGGACTTGGCATGGTGAGGGGCTGGCATGTGAGGGGGGGGACCCCTGGCCTCGGTGAGGGTGGCTGGCATGTTGAGGGTGATTGTCATGTGAGGGTGCTTGCTCTGTGAGGGGGCATTGGCATTTGAGGGGGACTGGCATGTGAGGGGGACTGCCTGTGAGGGGGACCTGGCATGTGATGGGGACCTGGCCTGGTGAGGGGACTGGACCCGGGTGAGAGGGACTGGCCTGTGGAGGGGGACTGGGCCTGTGAGGGGGACTGGCATGTGAGGGGGACTGGCTGGTGGAGGGGGACTGGCCTGTGAGGGGGACTGGCCTGTTAGGGGGGACTGGCATGTGAGGGGGACTGGCATGTAGGGGGGCTGGGCATTGAGGGGGACTGGCCGTGAGGGGGACTGGCCGGTGAGGGTGGGACTGGCATGTGAGGGGGACTGGCATGTGAGGGGGACTGGCCTGTGAGGGGACTGGCATGTGAGGGGGACTGGCATGTGAGGGGACTGGCATGTGAGGGGGCCTGGCATGTGAGGGGGACTGGAAGGTGAGGGGGACTGGCATGTGAGGGGGACTGGAAGGTGAGGGGGACTGGCATGTGAGGGGGACTGGCATGTGAGGGGGACTGGCATGTGAGGTGGGACTGGCATGTGAGGGGGACTGGCATGTGAGGGGGACTGGCCTGTGAGGGGACTGGCATATGAGGGGGACTGGCATGTGAGGGGGACTGGCCCGGTGAGGGGGACTGGCATGTGAGGGGGCTGGCATGTGAGGGGACTGGCATGTGAGGGGGACTGGCATGTGAGGGGGACTGGCATGTGAGGGGACTGGCCCGGTGAGGGGGACTGGCATGTGAGGGGGACTGGCCTGCTGGGGGGACTGGCATGTGAGGGGGACTGGCATGTGAGAGGGACTGGCATGTGAGGGGGGACTGGCATGTGAGGGGACTGGCATGTGAGGGGGACTGGCATGTGAGGGGGCCTGGCATGTGAGGGGGACTGGCATGTGAGGGGACTGGCATGTGAGGGGGACTGGCATGTGAGGGGGACTGGCATGTGAGGGGACTGGCATGTGATGGGGCCTGCATGTGATGGGGACTTGCATGTGAGGGGGACTGGCATGTGAGGGGGACTGGCCTGGTGAGGGGACTGGCATGTGAGGGGGACTGGCCCGGTGAGGGGGACTGGCATGTGAGGGGGACTGGCATGTGAGGGGACTGGCATGTGATGGGGCCTGGCATGTGAGGGGGACTTGCATGTGAGGGGGACTGGCATGTGAGGGGGACTGGCCTGGTGAGGGGACTGGCATGTGAGGGGGACTGGCCCGGTGAGGGGGACTGGCATGTGAGGGGGACTGGCATGTGAGGGGACTGGCATGTGAGGGGACTGGCATGTGAGGGGGACTGGCATGTGAAGGGGACCGGCATGTGAGGCGCACAGTGTGTGCCGTTAGCAGGCAGCCTTTTGGAGTCTCCCCTGGAACGGGCACTGGACTTGTTGGTGCTGTTCATTGGGAGACACTGGTTCTCCTCCCTGGAGGCCTATTTCTTTCCCCGAAGACACTGGGGCCTAGAAATGGGGCCCTTTGAGAGGGGCAGTTCCCAGAGTGGGTCCCTCCCGGCTTCCCTCTGGGTGCCGGGGCGCCGTGGTCGGGATCGGGAGCCCCCAGGGTACCCTGCCCCCGTGAGAGATGACGCCGAGCATGGCCAAGGCCACCTGCCCCAGGTCTGTGCGGCCGCCTCCGGCCGCTGAGCCCGGCTGTCCCCACGGCCCGCCTGCTCCTCCCGGACCTGGCCCCCCTCTGGGCCACACCCCGGCTCCCCCAGAGCCCGCCCGGAAGCTCCCCGTCTGGGCTCCATTCCGTGTCACCTCAAATAAGGTCACCCGAGCAGCCTCCCTGCCCTGGCCACCAGGTGCACCGCTCACTGTTAATGGAGTTCCTCCGCCCCTGTGCGCCTGCCTCCCTCCTCCCAGGCAGGCTGTGGCCTCAGCGGCTGGCGGTGAGCACCTCTGGGCCCTGAGCACCTGGTGGAGGGAGAGCTCGGGGAGGCCTGGCGCCTGCACAGCTCCCCGCGGTCCTGCCCCGCAGGCTTCTACAGCGTGGGAGGAGATCCAAGACGACGGTGGAGTAGGTAGACCCTGCTCAGTCCAGGAGCAAACGTGAATTAAACTGAAATATGGAATAACCAACCAGAACACCCAGCAGAAGACCAGCTGAACGCAAATCTCATAGCCAAGGATGTACAGAAGCCGCATTGAGATAGTGGGAAAGGCGACACATAAAGGGCTGGCCCGCTCCCACGGGAAGGCTGAGACTCTGAGGGGCGCCTCCGGTGCAAACGTTCCCCCGAGGAGCGTGGGTCGCAACCCCCTGCCAGGCTCCCCGCCCAGAGCCCCAGAGCCCCCCGGGCCAGGCTCCCCGCCCAGAGCCCCAGCGCCCCCCCCGGGCCGGGCTCCCCGCCCAGAGCCCCAGAGCCCCCCCCCCCCCCCCCCCCCCCCCCCGGCCAGGCTCCCCGCCCAGAGCCCCAGAGCCCCCCGGGCCAGGCTCCCCACCCAGAGCCCCAGCACCGGGGTGAGGCACCCACACAACATCTGGCTGTGAAAATCCGCAGGCGCCTCTCTGCCAGGGAGAGAGGGGAGTCTGCGAGAGACACGGGCACCCTTTGAAAGCCCAGTGCACACAGTCTCATTCGCAGCCACTCACCCTGGGCTCCACAGAGGGCTGGCAGAGGAGAGGCGGGGTTTGTGGCTCTGGGAGGGAGCTGAGGGGACACAGCCGAGATCCCACAGATGGAACCATCCTCCCTCTCCACAGACGCCATCTTCCTTGGGTGGAGCACTCCCTCCTGCACATCAGCCTGAGGAAGCGATAGTCCACCCTCCGCACCCCCTGTGGCCTCACCCTGTGGGGTTGCAGCCTGCTGAGGGGCAGCTGCCTGGGCAGTCTCCTGGGTGTCAGTGACTGAGCCGTGTGGCTCTGGGATGGGGCTATTCCCCCACTTCCCTACGCACCAACTGGTGTCTCTCCTCCGTGGGAGATGTGCTAGCCTCACCCTGCGGTGTTTGGTGGCCCCACCTTCTTGACTCTTGGTGGCCTTGCCCTGTGAGGTCTGGGCAGAAGCCAGGCCAGAATGGGTTAAGTGGCTCTTGGGTGTGGAAGGTCACTCCAGTCCTTCCCCCCACCAACTTCTATGAAATCTGACAGGCACCTCCCCCTTTCCCGATTCCCACTGGCTCTGCCCTGCTGAGATAGGCTCTTGGCAAAATCTGGGACAGAATAAATTGTGTGGCTGTAGGATGGGGAAATTCTTCCCTTGCACAACCACATGGTGGACAACCTTCCCTCACATGTCAAATCTTGGTCTGTTTGAGCCAGATAAACTGGACTCCCTGACCACTTCCTGAGACCCCAACTCACCACAAAGACATGCAAGCACCCAGTGGGTGGCAGCTAGACTTGGTGTACCCTGCCTGAGCTGCCCAGCACTGGCATCTAGTCTAAACCTGTATAGATCTGATGAAAACCTCTTGCAGGGAAGGCCACAAACTATGGATAGCTTTGTAGCTCCAAACAGGTTGTCCAGCACCAGTCACAGGCAGTGACTGCCATTGGCCTGCATCAGAGTCTCCCAAAAAGCCCGTGTCCAGCATCAGACAACATCAGAGCAGGATCCATTAGGATCACAAGCAGCACATCCACAGGGTGATCATGGCAGGAACAAGACCCTGCTAAGGCGAAAGCTGCTCTGTGAGGTCAGCATCTGCACAGCAGCTTGTACACTGTGGTTGGAATAGATCCTCACAGTCAGCCAGCCTGAGAGTCAACTCCATGCCTTAATGGGCCAATAGCAATCAACACTCAACTGCAGCAGAAGGTCCCACATAACCACACAAGGGTTATTCATGGAGCACCCAGCACAGGTGACCAAGGAGACTTCCATTGGGTCCCACAGGACTCCTATTTCATAAGTCCATCCTACCAAGACTGGTAGTCATAGCAGATCTACATAGAAACAAACACACACAAAAAAACAGTCAAAATGGGGAGACAAAGAAACATGCTCCAAATGAAAAAATAGAAAACTCCAGAAAAAAGCTAAATGAAATGGAGGCAAGCAATCTAACAGATATAGAATTCAAAACAATGGTTTTAAGGATGCTCAAGAAACTTAAGGGGAAAATGGATGAAATCAATGAGAACTTAAAAAAAGAGATAGTACACATAAAAAGGATATAAAACCATAAAAAAGAACCAGTCAGAAGTAAAGAATACAATATTTGAAATGAAGAATACACTAGAAGAAATAAAGTTGGGTGGATGAAGCAGAAGATAAAATCAGAGATTTGGAAGACAAAGTAGCAGAAAACACCCAATCATAGCAGCAAGAAGGAAAAATAATTCTAAAAAAAAAAAAAAAAAAAAAAAATGAGGTCAGTTTAAGGGAATTTAGGGAAAATATAAAGCTTAAGAATATATTCCTAATATGAATTCCTAATTCATAAAGAGAAGAGAAGAGAGAGAGAGAGAGAAAGAGAGAGAGAGAGAGAGAGAGCAAGTGCAAAGGATCAAGAAACTATTTGAAGAAATACTGACTGAAAACTTCTCTAACCTGGTAAGAAAAAAGGCACACAAGTCCAGGAAGTGTAGATAGTCCCAAACAAGATGAACTCAAAGTGGTCCAAACCAAGGCCATCAGAATTAAAGTCACACAGGTAAAAGACAAGGAGAGAATCTTAAAAGCAGCAAGAGAAAAACAGTTAACTACAAGGGAGTTCCCACAAGACTGTCAACTGATTTCTAAATGTAAACATTCATGCCATAGTGATTGACATGAAATATTCAAAGTGATGAAAACCAAGGACCTACCACCAAGACTACTTTACCCAGCAAGGCTATCATTTAAAATTGAAAGAAAAATAGACTTTTTCAGATAAGAAAAAGCTAAAGGCACGCAATTTATTAGCACCCAATCAATATTAGAACAATTAAAAGATCTTATTGAAGAAGAAGAAAGGGAAACATAGCTACTTAGTTTAAAGAATAAAATGCCAATAAATATGTGTCTATCAATAATCACTTTAAGTTTAAGTAGCTTAAATGCTCAAATCAAAAGACATAGGGCAGCTGAATAAATAAGAAAACAAGATATATATATATATATATATATATATATATATATATATATATATATATATACACACACATAGTCTCTACAAGAGACCTACCTGAGAATGAAAGATACTCACAGACTAGCCGAAACCGGTTTGGCTCAGTAGTAGAGCGTCAGTCTGCAGACTGAAAGGTTCGATTCCAGTCAAGGGCATGTACATTGGTTGCGGGCACATCCCTGGTAGGGGGTGTGCAAGAGGCAGCTGGTCGATGTTTCTCTCTCATCGATGTTTCTAACTCTCTATCCCTCTCCCTTCCTCTCTGTAAAAAAATCAATAAAATATATATATTAAAAAAAAGAAAGATACAGACTAAAAATAAAGAGACGAAAAGTGATATTTAATGCAAATGAGAACAACAACAAGCTGAGATAGCAATACTATATCTGATAAAAAAAGACTTTAAGACAAAGGCTTTATAGTATTATAGAAGGTCACAACACAATGATAAAATAAGCCAAAAGAGGATATAACTCTTGTAAATATATTTAGAGACACTTAAATATGTAAAGCAAGTCTTTATAGAGAGATTGACAGTAATACAGTAGGAGACTTTAATATCATATTGACATCAATGGGTAGATCTTCCAGACAGAAAATCAACAAGGAAAGAGTGGCCTTAAGTGACATACTAGACCAGATGGATTTGATTGATATCTTTAGAGCATTTCACCCCAGAGCAGGGGAATATACATTCCTTTCAAGCACACAAGAAACATTTTATAGGATCGATAACATGTTAGGACACAAAACAAGTGTCAATAAATTTAAGAAGGCTTCAATTGAAGATGGCTGCTGATGGGAAGGCAGGCTGCAAGACAGTATGTGAGTGAGAGGATGAAAGGAGAGTGTGTGGACATACAGGGGCGTGTCTATTTGTGAGTTATATTCCAAGGGACTGTTGGGGATTGCTGGACAGGGCTCCGCTGACTGGGCAGCCTCCACTGCTGCTGAAATCTCTCCCAGAGCTACCGGCTCTGCCGCAGAGACCGCGTCGTCATCTTGAAGGGGAGAGTGGGTGTGATCAGAAGCCTAGTCTTACCTTCAACCGGGAAGAATCAGAACCTCCTGGGACCCTACAACCCCAACACCAAGGGACCAGCTGTGAATCCATGAACACCGGGTCTCAAGCAGCCCAAATATTCAGACTCCAACAAGCTCTGCACCTTCTCACAGAAAGGTCAGATTCCGCCCAGAGAGAGGTGAGGTCTGTGATCCAGGCTGGAGGGAGAAACGTGCACAGCGAGATCTGGAGATTCAGAGCAAGTCTGTGCCCACAAAATCCACGGCCGTTGGGGCCAGGATAGTCCACGAATGTGGAAGGAGGTCTACAGGGCTGCTGACAGAGGGGAACTCCAGAAATCAACCCATAGTTGGGTGGGGCACAAAAAGGCAGTCTGAAGTTCTGGCAGTAAACCGGCTGCGTTGTGCCAGTGGAAAAAGACATGGGCAGAGACATGAGCAGAGTTGCGTGCAGTGCCGGGTCGAAAAAAATCACAAATTTGCTGGCTTACTCTGGCTCTTTTTTCTCTTTAAATCCTTGCTTTTGATTACTAAGCCCAGTGCGTAGGATCACCCAGTTAAAAACACTCTCAGAGACTGCAGGGGAAAGCTGTTTTTGTGGAACCTGGGGGTCAGAGCGGGGAGAAACTATCAGAAAACCAGCTCTGGGGAAGTCCATTCCCCCAAACCAGTATTATGTGCGGCAGGGAAAACAAATTCTAAATACTGGGTAGAGAGGAACTTATAGCCCTGGATGTCAATACAGACACACTGCAACCCAGGGATTAAATCACAAATTGACTCTTGTGTAAATTTAACTAACGGCAGGCTGAGAAACAAAGAAATACTACCTGCTTGAAAATAGTATTGTGGTTGACAACACAGAGGAACAGTGGAATGCAGGGAACTTCAATACTGTCCTGACTACCTGACAGGAAACAGGTGTGCCAAACATAACAGTGGAGGAAATGAGTGACCTTCACTACTGCACATTTTCATTTTTTATCTTTTACTTAAGAAACTAAATTTTTTTCTTACTTGATTTTACCCTTTTAATGACTATATTTTTATTTTTAATAAGTATTATTACTACTATTATTTTACCTTTTTTAAAGTTTCATTTTCTTTTCTTTTATTTTCTTTTGGGATTAATGTTCTATATTCTATTTTCATTTTTCCTTTAGCATCATTTTACTCTATCTCAACTTTACCTTTATGCCAATGCTCTCTCCCTCACTTTTCCCCTTTGTTGTCCTATTTCTCTTACCCTATTCCTGCTTTAGATTTTCCCTATTCCTTCTTTTTACCCCATTAAAAATTCATCCTAACATATCTAATTTCAAATCCTCTGCTCCAAGTCTATACATACTTCTCTCTTCTCTTTCTTCACTATCCAATTTTCTCTCTCTCTTCCATTTTTTTTGTTTTGCTTTTTAAAAATGTTTTTTGTTTTATTTTGTTTGGTTTTGCCCTTCTTTCTCTCTATCCTATTGTTGCTGTTTATTTGATTGTTAATTAGATTTTTTTGTTGTATGTCTGATTGTCCCTCTTTTTTTTTTTCCTTCTGTTTTTCCTCTCCTCACTTGGTATTAGTTGTTGTTTATAGTTTGCATTCATCTCTGGTGTTAGTTGTTTGCATTTTTTTTGATTAGTTGTTCTACTGAGTTTTCTCCAAATATAAATAGTTTTTTCCCCTTCTTTTTTATTCTCTTTATTTTTTTCTCTTACTTTTTTTCCCCTTTCCTCAATATCATTTTTGCAGTCTCTTTTGTTTTGTTGTTTTGTTTTTTATCCCATAATTCTCTTTTCTTTGGTGATCACCTTTATTTGGGATTATTAATATCATGAAAGCATTTGTGTTCAGTGTCTTCTGCATTTTGCCTTGTTGTGTTGTATTTTGTTCCTTTATGTCAATGCAGGAGAAAGCTACATAACCAGATACCCAGAGTGAAGAGATCATGGAGAGACAAAGAAACAATCCACATATGAAAGAATAGGAGGCATCATCAGTAAAGGAAGTAAACAAAATGGAGGCAAGCAATATGTCAGATAGGGATTTCAGAGAAATGGTTATAAGGTCGCTAAAAAGGTTGGAAAACAAATTCAACAGTATGTGTAAGAACCAAAGGAATGAAGAAGAACCAAGAAGTGAAAAATGACATCACTGCAATAAAGAACTCAATAAAGAGCATCAACAGTAGACTAGAATAAGCAGAGGACTGCACAGTGAGCTAGAAGACAAGGTAGGAAAAAATACCCAAGCAGAGCAGCATCTAGGAAAAAAACTTGAAAAACAGGAGGAGAACCTAAGAGAACCTTAGGGTAACCCAAAACAAAACAACATTTGCATAATAGGGGTGCAGGAGGAGAGGAAAATGAGCAAGGAATAGAAAACTTGTTTGAAGAAATAATGACAGAAAACTTC